CAGCAAGGAGCTACAACCCAGGATTTAGCCTGGGTGAATTTTCCTTCTCGGGGATTTCCTGTCCCGTTTCTGGATGTTTCTATCTATCAAAGGTTCCCTGGCAGCTGGTTTAAGGCGATCAACTCCGCTGAGAAAGAAAGCCTTACACAGTACTTGGGCTTAGCTGCTAAACTATCAAGGGCTGCTGAATGGTATTGGACCCAAAGCATGGCTTCTATGGCAGAAGTCTCTGTCATCAGCCCTTGGTGGAAAGAGACCGAACTCAGAAGACTGGCCTTAAAGAACCCTCCATAACAATAAAGGGCAGCACTGCTACCCTCAACAATGGCTTGGGGGAGGGGGGACACAGTGGGGTTTGTGGGGGTAGGTCCTTAAGGAATGTAAAGTAAGTGAACCCAAAAGTCGGCCCCCTTCTGTGCTTTTAGACCTCAGTTAAAATTTAACAATTTTTTTTATGTAAATCATCTGGTATACTCCATTGCATGGGTTGAGGGCTGGGGGGGCGGGGGGGGAGCGGTGAGAGGCCAAATAGGCCTGAGATTAGATAATTTAGTTAGTGCGAAAATTCCAGGAAGTTTGTGTTGATCTGGGCCTGGATCTTGTTACTTTTTAGCTCAAATCTAAATCTTTATCTTCCTATTATAGTTGAGAGGACATGTTTTCTACTTAGTCATTTTTACAGTTGTAATTTTTACCCCCCTCCCCCTTCATCAAATACAGCCGGTGAGATTAGCAGCTCTTAGCACAGAGATGAAAATATTGGTAGGACCCAATGGGCCCTGTTTTGTTTATTCTAACGGAGCAGGCTTTGATCTAAACATATTTCCTGGGGTCTGGACAGGATGACCTAATTCCTGTCTTATCCGTCGTCTCCACTTTCTGTGAATCTCAGATTGCGCTTTGCTGGGCAACCCTTTGAAATTCACTTTGCATTTTTTCCCACTTTGTTACCTCCTCTGACATTTGTTTCACTTGGGGTAGAGTGTGCGACTCCCAGTCAAGGTTCCGATGCTTTATTTTTCTAGCAGGGCTGCTACGTTTTAACAGAGTGGGAGCTTTTTCTTTCTCTTTTCTCCCTTTTTCGGCTCCTCGTTCTTGACATTCACAACACGCCAAAAACAATAAGCAAATAATCTACCTCGAGAAGTTTATGTCAACTGCAAATCATTTCGGATTTTCTGTATGAAGGATTTTTTTTAGTTAAACACACACACGCGCACACACACACAACTGTTCCCCTGTCCCCCCAATTTATAAAAGTCAGCCAACCAAACCTAGCCCGTGAGGACTGAGATGTAAAATCGAAAACTCAGGGTTAGCTTCAGGTGGCTGTAACTGATCTGCAGGAACCTGTTTCTTCCCTTTCTCCACTCCACCCCCACACAGCCACTGGGCTCCAGGGGTGTCTTGGGCAGCTTGGATCTGTCATTGGTCCCTTCCCACATCCTTGTCAATCACAAAACTCCTCTTCCAAGTATACTTGCTATAAAGAAGGAAACCCACGCGCGTGTGTGTACGTGTTGTGTATAGGGGAGAGCGGTGGAGGTGGAGGCGGAAAAAAGAAGAAACGCAAAGGAAGACAGGGAAAGACCGACACAGGAAGAGAAGGGATGAGAGAAGAAAGGAAGACAATGACGGTAACCCAGAGAGACACAGAGAGAAAAAGAAAAGCATGGTTTAAAAAAAAAAAAAAAAAAAGACGAAGAAACCCCGGCAAGTTGCTAAACGGTAGCAAATGTGAGCCATGGGCACAAGGGGGTTTGTTCCTTTATTCCCTGTGCTTTCCTATATTTTTCCAATTCACACCTTTTTTTTTTTTTTTTAAAAAGGAAGGGGGGGGTACCAAAGTCAGTATTTTTACTAAAATGCCGTGAACTTCGCCTATCATCATTCCAGGCAGCAGCAACCCAGGGAATTCGGTCCTCTTTGGGTTCCAAGCTACCTCCAGGCACCTCGAGTGTCAGAAAGGACAGCGGGCGGGGGTGGGGGTGGGGGTGGGGGGCGCGTTAACGTGGGCCGCCTTAAAAGAAACCGTGTTGCTCTACCAATTATGAATCCATTTCTCTTCCTCGGGGCTGAGTCAAAGGCTGAGCGTAGGGATGGCACAGTGAGTGGGCAGGGCCTGAGGACGATCCTCCATCTGGAAATGAAGGGCAAGGCGAGTGGTAATGATCAATAGGTTAGAGAGACTGTCGATGGATCCATAGACGGAGAGGCAGCGACAAAGGCGCAGGGACCCCAGGGCTCCGACCTTCCCCAAGGTCTTCGGTTTCCTGGGGAAGTCTGTCTAAGCGAAAAGTTGCCATTGCGCCCCTCAACTCCCTTCCCGAAAACGCTAGAAAGGGGGAGGCTGGTGGTGAGCAGGGAAAAGAAACAACTGCCCTGCTCCCGGCCGAGCCCGCCCGCCTCGCGGAAACGGACGCGCGGCCCGGGGAGGCGCAGGGCCGTGACCCCGCGGGCGGCCGGCGAGTGGGCGTCCGGGGCCGGGGGCGGCGAGCGGGGGCCGCGGGCGGGCGCGCGCCCCGGGGACCGGTGTCGGGGCTGCGTCCCCCGGACCCCCCTGGAGCGGAGGGCGGGGCGCGGGGGCGCCGGAGCGCAGCGCGCGGAGGGGGCGCTGCGAGCCCGCCCTTCGCGGTGGCCCGCGGCTCCGACCCCTCTGCCTGTCGCCAGGCGCGGGCCCGGGGCGGGGGAGGCGCAGGGGCCGCTTCCGGGAGGAGCGGCGCGGGGTGCCCCCTCGTCGCCGCGCCCAGGCGTGAGAAGGGGAGGGACGCCCTCTCCGGCCCGCGTAGAACAAGAGCTTCTGGCTAGAAGGGCGGCCTTCCCTCAGGTCCCCCACTCTGGGGCAAAGGCGTCTCTCTTGGGGCTCGTGGCCGGGACTGCAGAGCCACGACCCCTCTGTGTTCGCGCGCTGCAATGTGGGGCAGCTGTCTGCACACCCCGACGCGGAGCACAGCCCTCCTCCTTTGGGGGCGCCCGCCCCCGCGTCGTCCCCGCCTGGGCCCCCGGGGCTGAGCCACACAGCGTGGAGTGGCCTGAGTCCCGGTGCAGACTTCTAGTGGGAGGCGACCGGAAGCGTGTCCCTTACCTGGGCGCAGGGCCACCGGCTGCCGGCGGCTCACCACCTCCCTGAAAGAAACAAATCGCCGACCCCGGTAGACACCAACGTCCACCCTGTCCGTTTGATCACCCCAAAACAGTGCTCAGGAGCAAAACCCGTTTCCCCTACGATAAAAGGGAGAGAGGAAGATTCAGGCTGAATTCTGATGGACTTTCAAAGTCAAGTCGTGATGGACTTTCTTCTTTCAAATACGCATGTGTTTAATGCTTGAAAGCCTAATTAAAGAACGTGCTGACCTCTCTGGGTTGAGGCCTAGTTCCAGAGTCAGATCATACAGCCCCCAACTGCAGGGGGATTCGCCAGCCAGGATGCTTTCCCTGCCTGAGAAAAGCCACTGAACTCAAGGGAAGCGAAACAGCAGTTGAAATAAACCTGAAGTCTAAACGGGCCACATGTCCTGGTTAACAATAACCACTTTTTATTTCCTTTCCTTTTTCCTTTTTTTGGGGGGAGGGAGGAGAGTGGGGGTGTAAGCGGTGTGCCCAGTCATAGAGAACTGGGAAAATATGCTGAGATCCTTCAAATGAAGAAGAAAAAAGAAAAAGAAAGAAAAAGAAAAAAAAAAAAAATTCTCAGGCCCATGCAAACCTGTTTTTGTTATGCCTTTTACAATTCCTTATTTAGGGAGAGAGAGGGAGAGAGAGAGAGAGAGAGAGAGATACACACTCACATGCACTACTTACTGGTGCCTGGGGAAATGTTAAAATACATTTCGGGCCCTGGGTAAACAGAAATGCACTCTAAAAACACAGACACAGGATTTTGTTTTATCTGTTGCAAAAAAAAATGTATTTGATTACTTGAGTAAAATTACAGTATCTCTGTTGTTAGTAAGTATTAAATGTTAAAAGAAATTGGACCCCCCCTTTCCTTTCTACTTTCCAAGAAAGTGCATGTAACAGTCCAATTTTTTTCTTCCATACCTAATACAAAATAAACGAACACTATACCTGCTCTCTTGATCAAGAAGAAGCATTTGCTCTTGTAAGGAACATATGTACATTTTAATGAAAGTGATATTTCTTATCGTATATACAGGAGCATCTACATTTTCTCCACTGAAGGTTGTTCAAGATGCTATACTTAGCAGCATTGTGAAATTCCAGCACAAATTTTCTATTGGGAATATACTTACAAGGCAAAATGTTACGTCTCAGTTTCAACTACCAAAACAACACTTAGATTTTCTCTAAAGAATTCTGCGTGCTTATTACTGTACAGAAACTTATCAACATTGAGGACGACTCAAGTAAAAAGCACAATACAAATAACAGTTCAAAACGGAAATGGTTAAATCTACCAAAAAAAAAAAAAAAAAAGCAGGTTGAATTTTAGAATTAAAAAAAAAAAAAGAACAAAGAAACAAACAACAACAAAAAAATAAAACCCCAAACCTTTCAGAGAACCACATTGATCAGTCTGTACTTCCAGTCCTTTGCTTCAATTTGTTTAGAAAGATTAGACAATGTGTTTGCTGATAAAATTTTCCAGCAGGATCAAAGTGTACATTTATATACAGACTTTATTAGAGATCTAATGCATCACTGAGGCATTGCATTAACACCAGATTCATATTAAACCGGATATAGAAAATAAGTTAATGCCAGATTAAGACCGCCTAGCAGGGCAACTTGCGATTGCCATAAATGTTACAGCGCTCTAGTCAATTAGTATTTAGTCCAAAATACAGAAGACCAAAGTTAACGCTTGCATTCTGTTTGCAAAGCAAGGTTATATCACTAATAAATAAGCTTTCTTATAACTCTAGAAGTTGAACAAGGTACAAAAGAATGTCTTCATCATGTTGTAGTTCATAGATCTGGGGGAACCAGGAGGGCCGGGGCCGGGGTGGGGGTGGGGGGGGGGGGGCCGGGGAGGAGGCAACGGTGGGTCTCCTTCTGGAAGGGGGCTGCTGTTCCTCCAGCCAGGGGTTGCTCTAGCTTGTGACAATCTCCTTGCTGTCCTCCACGAAGCGGGTGAAACGGAAGCTGGTTCCGTTCTCACTGCTGGCCATCTTCTCCAGGCCAGCCAGCGGAGCGCTGGGCTCTGAGTTCTGGAGCTTCTCCAGATTTCCCGTCAGCCCACTGACAGGTGAGCTGCTCCCGCTGAGGCTCCCAGGAAGTGGAGGGATGCCGCCATTCTGAATGACGGAGATCTCGTTGGCCTTCATGGCCAGCCCGTTAGAGAGTGCCGCCGCGTACTGGTTCCAGAAACTGGAAGGATCCCCGCTTCCTGACCTGGCCGCCAAATCCTTCTGGAACATTTCTGGGAACTTGACAGGATTGCCTCCTAGAAAGGTCATGGGGCCATCCACAGAGAGCCGCCGACCCCGGCGCGCAGGCGTGCTGTTCCACATGTGAGTGCCCATGTGTACCTGAGAGGGGGGCGGGGGGGGCGGGAGGAGGGGGTAGAGAAAAAAAAAAAAAGGGAGAGAGAGAAAGAGAGAGAGGAAGGGAGAAGCTTAATAGTTGAATCTGTCTCAGCTCATATCCCAACACCCGACAGAGCAAGTGGCCCACACGTCTATTCTTATTAAGTGCCAGGCAGCGGAGAAGGTGATGGGGACGTCCGCTCCGGCCGCGCCTCCTAATAACGTGCTCGCTTCCCCCCGGCCCCGGGGCCGCCTTCCCTCTTCCTGGGTAAAGACGCCTGCCTCACTTACTCCTTTTTTATTACCCGTATTTAGCTTATAATGGCCTCCAGCAGGCCAGTCTGTCGCAGATAGCTCCTTGCAGGGTGAGAATTGTTATGTCCACTCTCATTGCGGTGGTAAGTATTGTATCTGACACCCTCTACCCTATAAACGTCCTTTTCAGATGGGAAGAAAGGACCCCTCGCAGATTGCCCATCGGAGGGCCCGCACGCGGCGAGAAAAGGCCAGAAAGTAATTATTCCTCTCGCTTTACTGGCCGCGATCTCTAGAGAAAGGCTCTGTCAACAAAAAAATGTACACAGCGAGAGCGCTCAACTGTTGCTCTAGAATCTAAGCGTATTTGCTCGATTTCCAGCACATATCGGGAGGCCGTGTAGGATCAATTATCATAATACCCATTAGCCGGGCAGGGACGTTACGGTGTTTTAGGAAAACACGCCAGGCTGGGCTGCACGGTTGTGAAAAATAGCTGCGTCCGCCGAGGAGGGCTGGAATTATGAAGTGATGCGGGCGGCTCGCAGGCCACGTGGAGGTCTTTAATCAATACCCCGTGGCAACGCCGGGCTTTCTTACTTGGTAGGTGAGGCCATTCATTTGGTGCACTTAGCGACACAACAAGAGATGGGCGGCTGCTTCGTGGAGGCACCGGATTATTCAATGTGCTCTCACGTTCCGCAGGCCCCCAAGGCACCTGCCCCAACCCTGACCCTCCCGGGCCCTCGGCCTTGGTGGGCCGCGTGCGGCAGGCGCCCTCTCCCCACGTGGGTGCTCCGGGGGCATGCAGCACAATCAATCGGGCTGCTGGCTGGGTGCGCGGGCGAGGGACAGACAGAGTGAGGTACCTTCAGATTGCCTTTTGTCGTGAAAGCTCTCCCACAAATAGTGCAAGCAAAGGGTTTCTCTCCAGTGTGAGTTCGCTCGTGAATCTGCAGGGCACTCGACGAGGAGAAGGTTTTGCCACACGTGTTGCAGTAGTGCTGTTTGGGGGTCCTCCTGGGCAGAGCCGGGAGCAGGACTGGGGACGTGGCAGAGGAGGACAGAGGCCCGGAGGGGACGTGACCGGCGGAGGTGTCCTTGCTGTCCTGAGGAGTGACATGCACGAAGCCGTTGACCTCTGTCTTGATGAGAGATGACAACGAGTTGGCGGGGATGACCGCCGAGTTCTGATTGGGGCCGAGGCTGGAGCTGGGCTCAAAGAGCTGCGATGGTAGGTCCCGCATCTGATGTGTCAACATGTGCTGCTTCAAGTTACCCTTTGTGGAAAAGCCGCGATTGCAAACCGTGCAAATAAATGGTCTCTCTTTGGTATGACTTCTGTAGTGAATGTCCAAGGCACTCTGACAAGCAAAGGTTTTGCCACAAATGTCGCAAGCAGTATTTTTAAATTTACCCCGGTCTCTGAAAGGGAAGAGGATCCCCAAAGAATCTTCCTTGATGATTTTCTCTGCGTGACTAGACGTCAAATCCAGAGCCCCGCCGTTCACTGGGGTGGGGGACAAACCATTGGCGAACTCGCTCGGGACTGCTCTCTGCGGCTTCTCCTCCACGCCGGGCGACTTGTGGAGTTCCTGGGTGCTGTTGGACGGGGACAGAGCCTGCACGGAGGAGGTAGACTCTGAGATGGCCGGGCTGCCAGCGCTCTGGCTCTCCATGTCGCCGCCCACCGAGGACGAGTCGTTGGTCAGCACGTCCCCCTCGACGGAGCCGTTCTCCACGGACTTCAGGCTGGCCTGCAGCTGCTCTGCCAGGCCGGCATTGATCATCTTCATCTGGTTTTCCAAAGCAGCGATGCTCGACATCTCCAGGGGCAAAGGCGAGGAACATAAGCTGTCCTGGGACGCATCGGCGGACTTGGGCGTGTCGGGGATGCTGCCCTCAGGACAGTCCTCCATGTTCTCATCGGAGAAGTTGTCCAGGTCGTCGAAATTCTTCTCATCGAAGGAGCCCGTGTCGGACTCCATGGACTCGGGGTAGCTGTCGGGGACTGGGGTGTTGGGGATCTGGCCTCCCATGTGCATCCGAATGTGCTGCTGCAGGACCACGGCGTTGGTGAACTTCTTCTGGCAGATGGGGCATGAGTGCTGGACTCGGAGCGGGGGCATGGCACGGTGGACACTGTAGTGGGTTTTGAGGTTCCCTTTCGTGGTGAAAGCCCGGCCGCAGATCTTACACTTAAAGGGCCTCTCCCCGGTGTGCGTCCGGTAGTGCATCTTCAAGGCGCTCTGACAACTGAGGACCCGGTGGCAGATGATACACTCGTTGGGGTCGGTGGCCTTCTTGTCAATGTTCTCTACCAACTGCTGAAGCTTGGAGGTCTCCGATGCCTGGGCCGAGTCCAAGAGTCCCCCAAAAGGAAACTTCGCCTTGAACTGCTCAGACATGAGCGGCAACAAGGGGTTGGAGAACGCGGCGGTCCGGGTACCAGGGCCACCGTCCGCCGCCACCGCCACCGGGGAGCTCAGCGAGCTGCTGCTGGCTGCCGGGGCCGAGCTGGGGGCCACGCTGCCATCTTCACTCTTGCCGCCAGAGGGTAGCGCAGTGGACCCTTCGGCCTCCTCCGCGAGCCCCCCTGGGTTTCTCGTGGCCGCCTCAGGGGCCCCGGAGTCACTTTTGACTGAGCCTGGGGGGCTGCTGGTCGAGTGGCTTATGGGGATCGGGGCTGGCTCTTCGGTCTTGATGAAGGGGGCGAGGCTCGGGAGGGTCGGGGGCAACGGCAGGCCGACCGAAGTGGTCAGAGTGGGCAGGACCGGTTTGGTGTCGAGCCAGCTGGTGACCGGCTTTTCCGGAGGAATGGACATGCCATACGGGATGCCGGTACTAGTGGGGATATTGTCCAGATGCTCAGGCACGGGATAGGGGTTCATCTGGATATGAGGGTACTTCTCTTTGTGGCGCTGAAAGTGGACTTTGAGGTTCCCCTTGGTGGAGAACCTGTTCCCACAGATGTTGCACTTGAACGGCCTCTCCCCGGTATGGGAGCGCAGGTGGATCTGCAAGGCACTGTCGCTCCCAAAGACCTTTGCGCAGAACCTGCACTTGTGTTTGAAGAACGCCTCGTCCGAAGCGCTTTTCGCTTCGAAGGCGGTGACATTTGGTGGCTTGCTTTTTCTCTGCTGGGCCAAGGCCGACAGGGAGCTTAAATCCTCGGCGGTCGTTCCGATGTTGGGCAAAGGGCTGGGGAAAACCGAGTTAGCGGGGGCCGGCTGAGGTAGAAGTGGATTAGACGCAGGACTCAATAAACTGCTTATTGCAAAAGCTGGTGACGATGACGTGGGGGCTGCCGGGTCACTGGCGTGGGAGGCGCCGGCGCTCGGGGCCGCTTTTTCCGAGGACGGGGAGGTCACCGCTGCCGCCAGAAGGTTAATGCCGGGGGAAGAGCCGCTGTTGGGTGCGATGGTGTGGCCAGAAGTGCTCTGAGGTAGCTGGAGGGGGGGGGGCTGCTTCACACCGCTGATGCTGGCCGACTGGCTGGCGAGGCTCTGGGCCAATCCAGCCGCTGCCGCCAGCTGCTGAGACAAGTGGGAACTTAGTGTGGACAAGGGGTTGGCAGATGTTCGTAAAGTACCTTGAGAAGGACTAGAGGATGTTGGCAAGTCTGCGTTCTGAGAGGCCAACAGCAGTATTTGGTGACGGATCTGCTCGATCAGCTGCAGCTGGTGGATCTGCTGCTGCTGCAAGGCCAGGAGCTGCTCCATGAGAGCGGGGACGGCCAGCTTGCCCCCCGGGGCCCCGCCGCACCTCGCCTCCTGCGAGAACTGGGCCACCGCCACCTTGGTGCTCTGCAGGTTCTCGATGATGACGTTGCTGTTGATCACGGAGAAGTTGCCCAGTGCCGTCAGGTCCCCAAGTTGAGGTAGAGAGGTTGTGATCGCTGAGGTACCTGCGGAGGGGCCTCCGCTGCAGCCTGGGGTGACCCCGCTCCCGCCCCCGCCCAGAGCAGCGCCGCCACCTTTGCTGGCCGCCGGGGCCTCCACCTCCATGGACTCCTCCCTGTCGCGTCCGCCGCGTTCCGGAAGGTCGCCGCTTTCGGCCTGATCTGTTGTGTTAACGGTGTCATTCATTTGTTCGTCGGGATTATCGGGAGGGGGACTGGGAGAGAAGGTGTGAGGTGGGGTGGCTGGGCTCTCATGGACGATTAAAACTAATTGATTTTTAGTACAGTTCTTCTTGTGGAGGAGAAGATCTGATAATTCAAAGAACTCGGCGCAGCACCGGCCACAGACGTGGGCGTCCTTGCTCTTGGTGGTGCGATTTGGTTGACCTTTCTCTGTGTCTCCTGCAAACATCCAAAGAGACAGGGTTAGAAAGGGGGCCGGGACACACGGGGTCACCCGTGACTTCGAAGCAAGCAGCAAGTTGATCAACTGTCTTCCGTCTTCAAAACTTAAGGCTCTTGGCCTGCCAGATCTGTCGATATTACCCAAGAACCTTCCTAATTAAATTTTAAGGGGTGTGGAGGAATCCCTATCAATCCAGTCTCTCAGATAGCCTTGGTCTTCAGATAATCCATCAAAATATAAAATACTACCAAGCAAAGACATTGGTGCATAATGAAATTCCATAGCAAACTATTGATTTCCAATATTTTATACACCTTATTGTCTACTCATCCAGAGAGGGTCCAGCATCCATTCTGAGGACTTATTAGGCTCTTGAGTTTCTGTCAACCTTATTCATTTTCAACTGATTCAAAGATATCTGTGACAGTTTGTTCTGTCACTAAACTAATTTGTAGTCATTCAGATTCCAATCAGTTGTTGACAAGGGAGGGGAGAGAAATGCATATCGCCAAGCCTAGGACTGACAACTTCAAAATCACCTCCAGCCCCTACCCAGAACCGGAGCTAAGGCTGATCAGTGACAAACACGCGTTAGCCCCACCAGTAACAAATCCTCCAAACCGCTCAAGACTCAGTTGAATACAAACAAGAAAGCAGCACACACACACATACACACACACACACACACACACCGAAGAGAAACACAATGATCATAATCCGTTACAAGGCCTGCCTGGCACCTATAGATCACCCCACGGCATGTTTATTTTTAAAATTAAAGAATGCAACCCTGGCTACCAATTCCGCTATTCAAGTTATATACGCCACTGGGCTCCAAATGGCAACGTCACGCCTCTAAACATTTCATCCAGAGTGCTCTTTCTATCTATAAAAACCCGGCCCAAGATTTACATTTCTGATTCAACATCAACTTATAGAAGGACGTGCAGTTAAGGGGGAGGGAGGAGATCATTCTTGCTTTGGAAAATGCTGTGCAATTCTCCCTGTCTGAATGCCGTTAAAAACAGTTTGCTCTTAACTGTTAGCGATTGTTTAACAGATTGTCCTGACCCGTTCATTATAAAAAATCCCTTTATTTCATGTTTGTTTCCACGGGTTGCTCAGATTTCTTCTCACTAAGATCCATTTGTAAATTACACATAAAAATCTCCAACTCCAAGCTAACGTCCTATTCAAAGACAGGATGGAGCCCCATTGTTTGCCCAGCATGGGGAACACCAACTTCTGTTGTACAAATGCTGTGTGGTCATCTCCGAAGGCTGTGAAAAAAAAAAAAAAAAAAAAAAAAAAAAGAACTGTTTAATTCAAGGATTACCTCCCTGCATGCTTTTCTGCAGAACTGAATCAGATAATAGTTAGTTTCCATGACTTCCAAATTGAATCTCCCAGAAAACTTGCAGGGGGAGAAAAAAAAAAAAAACAACAACTAATTGCAAATATGAATAAATACAAACTCAAAATGTTGCTTTTTTTTTGGTAAACTTAAGAGTCAACTGGTAAGAGGCAGGCTTTTGCCTGTTTGGGGCGAACATCCCAAATGGCTTCAGTAGTCTTGCATTCTGGAAAATAGAATTAATACCTAAATACTAACTTGTGGGAATTCCTTTAACTCTATTTGCCTTGCGTGATGCCGGGCTGATGAGAAGCCCCAGTGAAGTATGCCAAATGTAGGCACACTTTATTCACTGCGAGTGTTATTTGAGTAGCTAAGTTATACTTAACAAGCCAGCTTTTCTAATACCCATCTTTTAATCTCCACAAGGGTATGCAGCAAAATGCATTAACAATACCAAACAGATCTTGGCTGTAGCAGAAAATACCAATAATGATTCAGTTTTAATTTAATGTTTAATCATCCTAATTGGCACCGGATTCCTGTGCACATTCAAGGTGCTGTTCTAAGCACTTTCTGTCTCTCCCCCTGCCTTAAAATAATGTAAACAAAATATTAAAGGAAATTCGCTAAAGTTACGTCGCTTAACTTGGGACAAAAATAATGTGACAAAAATTCTGTTTAAAGCTTCTTATTTTGACAACCAATTTTAAATGATGCATCCATTTCAGATGCTTATTTTAAACTAGGAAATGCAATTCCTAATATATTCAACAGAAATGTTATTTCTTTCTCTTTGCACATTTCCATATGTAATGGTTATGTTTCCATCTACTTTTACAGCCAATTATGAAGGAACAAAAGCTATTCTGTTTGTTCACACATTTTCAACAAAATGCATTAAAACTATTATGTCAGCATGTTCTATTAAGCTCTGCATTCAGTGGAAAATACTTTTCAACCAGCTCACATTTATCAAAACATAAAGCCACTTTAAAACACAGTTTTGCTTGGTCAGCTGGGCTTAGACAAATAATGACAGATTCAGGACTAAATAACTAGCAAGGGAAATCAGAAAACTGACTTCATCAATTGTACACATTACAATGTAGTTGCTTCAAATATTTAGCACATCTGTGTTCACGATTAAAGGTCATTTTAATTCTTTATAACTTATAAACATCTGATATTCTCATAATCTATAGACAAAATACAAAGGTTACTTTACAGGATTTCACCGATTATTACTTTCCTGTGCTTGAATTCTACATTCGTGCTGCTTCAAGACTCACTTGAGAATTTCCAAGTTTTTCAACCTGAACATTTTTCTATTTAGGGTTGTGCTAACTGGATGGAAAATATAGGTGCTTAAAAATATGCCTGCTTGCTTCGAAGAAGGACTGTGTGAAAAAGCTGCCCGGTTTCAGCGTGGATTTTCACAACATTTTAATAAGCTGACATTTGATCTCACTGTAGAGTCGACTAATTTAATTTCCGGATGTTTATGAACACATGCGCGCGCGCACACACACACACACACACACACACACACACACAAATTCTGGTATCTATTTTGATTTATTTCAAAAGCAGGTGTCGCTGTACTGTAATAGCTCTTAACTTTACATCTATCTGCATTCTGAACTGAATTCCAAGGAAGGGGGGCTCAAAAATAACAAAGAGAAAACACAAAGACTAGTTTGAATCTTTAACCACCAAAGGGAATATTTTAAGTTGTAACAAGACACACGCGCACTAACACGTTCTAATTCATTTTTTTCTGGCCGGCTGCTATCTTGTTTCTCCGTAATCTGTTACACAGGATTGCAACTGGTGACCCCATTATAGTAAATACAGTTGCCTTGCTCTCTGTGCTGTGGTGAAAATAACATTCCAGTCCCTTCTCTATGGATTCTGCATACAAATTAATTTTATCATCCTGGTCGGACAGGAAAATTTTAGAAGTAGTGGTTTTCTGAGTATGCACACACACAAAGGTCCCCAGGATTTGTCTGGTTTTTTTTTTTTTTTAGCGGAAAAGGGGGTGAACTTGTAGTTCCTTTAGTTTATACTAAAACCCAGCTGTTTTAGTTCTTGTGCTATTTAGGTACTTGACCCCCAATTCAAATTTGTCGGTTTTTCGTCATCTCCACCAAACATTGCAGAATAGGAGGCAGAAAATGGAAGTGTTCCAGTATATCTGTCTACTGTGAAAACAAAAATAAAACTATGCCCCACACAGCAAGGTTTAGCCAGCCAGGAAAACAAAACAAAACAAAACAAAACAAAACAAAACAACCCTTTTCTACCACATTTAGTTTTCTTTTTTGGAGTGCTTCAGAAAGAGCCTTCACTTTATTTTCCATTACCTTAAGATCACATTAACATTTTTAATAGAACCTCTCGTGACTAGGATTTGGGAGCCTAGTTTTAACAGGCTGCTTTTTCCCGGAGACCAATTTGGAGAGGCCATCACCCACATTTCTGACTGATCGGTCTTTCACCTTTCTCTTATTATCATTATTGTTTTGCACCGATCTGGGAAAAGCCCAAAATCCGAGTGTCCAGCTGAAGATGCCAAAGAAATTTTAAACACTGCCACATACGCTCTGCACATTCTCTGTCACGTCTGAAGTTTCCTCTCTGTGATATGCAACCAAATGACACATTTACTGGCCCACTTCAATTCCCTCCATGTCCTGGCCGGAATTAGTGTGTTCTTGAGTGGAAGAATACAAGCGAAAGCTCCGGGAAAAATAACAGCATGGGCAAGACACTGCTTTTCAAACGGGGACACCAGCCCACCTAACGGACACAATCAATGAAAAGGGGAAAATGTCTTCCCCTCGGATGAATCAAACTGAACGCTAGATGGGGTTCCACTTGCAAGGGTTTGTTCAGAAACTTCTTTGTGGCTTTCCTATTCCAGTGACGCGTAAAAAGAGAGACTCCTTAAGGCGAGATGTAAACTTTGACTACATAAACATTGGCAGAGGCACAAGAAACTAAATCCCTGTTGTTTGAGGGTAAAGCTGAGCTATGGGAACTACCTGTCAATCTTCCCCTTTGGGGGTCTGGTATCTGAGGGTGACCGGGGAATAAGGTTAGGAAAAGACGCCAAGCTGATAAGGTGAAACTAAAATAAACTACTAACTTCCTGCTAAGTGACTAGCAAGACTCAATTTGGGGGTCACTGGGAAGATACTGAAGGACATATTATGATCTGGACCTTGTCACCTCTGCATGGGAGGAGGCTAGCAAAGGTTAAAACAGCTCGACACTTTAGCTTTTGTAAAGCCTGGCACACACACTTTTTTCTGTGGGGGGGAGGGGTGCTGGGGCTCAGGATAATTTACCATCTCTCGCTACACTGCTACGTCACTGCAGTTCTGGTAATCTAAGAATATTTTGGACGCCTTGGCCAGCTGCACCAGGACAGGTCGGTGGAAAAAGCGAATTAAGACTGCACGAGGACTTTGTTCCAGGAGCCTGGCTTTGAACCATTTCAAAAAACTTAGCAAACTGCGAGGCGAGTTGGGGGGGGGGGGGCGGCGCTGACCGCTCGGACTCCCACTAAGATGTCCCCATGAGAAACGTGGGTCTCTGCCTTCCGAAGGGCTCTCGGTGGAGAGGACTTGCTACCTGCAAACGCAGAAATGAAATAAAGTCCCCAAAGAATAACCTATAAATTGGCGCTTGGACCTATAAACCACAGAGAAACTTGATTGTACAAGAGACCACGAGATGCTCACTCTCACAGAGTCACTTTGGCAGAGGCTCTCTCATGCCCAACTACACTTTGTCTGGGTGTTTGTTTTTCACCATTTCAGAGAGTATCTGCAGCCCGATGCAAATTCCCCCCAAACTGCGTTTTCTCATCCAGAATCTTCCATGATGCCACAAACTTAAAATAGGCCTGAATGAACATGAATTCTTTCCAACTGCCTTATCTTGCAGGTGTCGGTTTTTCAAAAAAAGCAATTAATTATAGTTCTCTGTAACCTTTTGGGCCCAGAAATCAATGTCTTGCCATTAAGCAGCTCACAATGAGTAAATTACTTTGGTAAATAATAGAATTTCATTATTAATATAAATAAGAGGAATGTTTATGATACTTTATAGGAGTCAATGTTTTATCTCCAGTTCATGATGTTTTTATCTTTCTTCCAATATTATCCTTTCCTTGAAAAAGCTGAGCGCCACAATACTTTAATAAATGAATGGAGTCTGAACAAGGCCATCCCTGCAGTTAACTTGAGTGTTAGAAACACCCCAAAGGAAGGAAACCCCAAAACACACACACACACACACACCCCAGAGTTCAGTGAAGAACCCACACAGAAAATCATTAGATTCTAACAGCCCCCTTCCTCAGAAGTATTTCTCAGTAAATAATTTTTCCGGGGGCAGTCATCTTTCATCTTTCTACAAATAATTCCAGGCTCGCTCGCTGACTGTTACTTAAAAGACAAGTTAATCTGCGCCATGATCCTGGTTGCGTAAGAAATAGAAAAATTCCCAACTTTAATGCAGGGTGTTTGTGGCATTACAGCTGCACCCAAGTAGAATTAAAACATGCACATGGGAAGACCGACCACATCATCTTGTTTTCTTGAACTTGTCCTGATGGAGTTACCCGTGTGTCTGTTTAGCGTGGCTCTGGCTTTCTTTGTATGCGCGTGCACCCACATGCACACACGCACGCGTGCGCACACACACACACAAACACACTCATGCAGGACACACAGTACAAGGCTCCTCTTACTGGGGTCCACAAACTTTTGCAGGTCCTGCTATAGGCAGATATCCCAATCTTGAAGTGCCACCATCTGTTAAGGGCACCGGCTAGACTTAACGCGGTTTGTTCGATGTTTTGTGCACCATACTTTCAGACCATTTTACGGTGGAGGGAAAAGGAACCACGTTGTTTGAGTGAGGCGTTGTCTTCTAAAAATGCAGTAAGCTTCCTACGTGTGAAAAGAGAAACCCCCAAACAAAACCAAAAACCACACCAAACCCTCCAACGCCATCGACTCTTTCAAGTGTGTGTTCTGTGTAGGGAAACGAACAGATATTGCTGGTCCCTCCATCTCTCAACTGCACCCAAATAAAAAGATGCAGAGTGTGGAAGGTCCTCCTGTAAAGTCAGACGCTGAGAAGGATTAGTTGTGTACTAATATTATTACAACATACTAAATCCTGTAACCCTATTACAAAATCTACCCTCTAGGCAGCTTCCCTCAAACTTATTGTTCAACCATGTAAAAACAGTCATAACCTAAAACCATTACCACCGAAGAAAGGGGGGGGTGGGGAGAGGTGAGAAAGAGGAGAGAGTAGCTCTGGACTCCTTGCCCCTAACACTTTACTGCTTCTTAGGACAATGAATCAGCTTTGGGGGAGAAAAAAAAAAAAGAGAAGAAAAAGGAAAGAGACGGAAAGAGGAAGAAAGAACGAGGAAAAAAGAAAAGGAAACTTGATTCAGTTACTTAATTAACTTACCTCAAAGCTCAAATAAACTAAAAAAAAAAAAAGTCCTAATAAATAATAATGGTAAGAGGTAGTGAACTCCTTTTACACTATCGCTTTATGAGAAGCCTTAACTATTAAAAATTCCGGATTCAGAAGGCGACAGGAGAAAGGCAAAGATCTACCATACATCATTTCTTCCCGAAGACGGAGCCTTTGGCTCCTTTTTTGAAAACGTGTGAAATCAGTACAAATTCACAAAACAAAACACAAGATCCGAAAAACGCTTTCTTCTACCGTTTCGGTTTTTCCTACACACACTGGGAACTTGAACAGTATTCCGGGGCGGAAGGTCTCATCAGAAACTTTAGGAAAGAGGGTGTGGGGGCGAGAGAAGCAGAAGAAACCGGCGGAGAAAACCCGGAAAAAATATTCGGAGCTGCTGCTGCGGCCTTGGGTAATTTCACCCAGATTTACCTCGCATCCCCGGTATGGCCTCGGGTGGAAAGCGGGGTTCGGGGGCTCATCACAGCGGACTAAAAATCGCAGAGACTCGGGGTAAGGCTTGACGCTGGAGAAAGTACTGGGGTGGGGGGTGCAAATATTTGTAAACAATTCTTAATCGGCCTCAGTTCTCCCCAATTTCTTACAGGGACTCCCCCATGCCGGCAGTCCCCTCTCCCGACAGCCTGGGTGACGGGGGTGGGAGCGCCTGCCTTGCCCGGGCTCAGCGCGGGTCCCCAGCCCAGCTCTGCGGAGAAGCAGGCCTCTGGGCAAGCAGCCCGGGGACCGCGGGGCCCGGGCGGCCGCAGATTTCAGTGGACAGAGGTGCCGATCCAGGGGCACGCTCATGAACCCTGTCGGGGTCCAGGCTCCCTCCTCCGTACCCCACAAGGCTGCCCAGGATTTGAGCGCTCCGAGTGGCACCCGGAGCCGCGGAGCCCCCGCGGGGGTCCCGCGGCCGAGAGGCGAGCATCTTGCCCGGGACCGAACCGGGCGCCGCTCCTTCGCCTGCGGCGCTGGGCCTGGGCACTCGGAGGCCCCTAGAGTGAACCACCTTCAGGGACAAGGAGGGACTCGAGGCCCCCCCCCCGTACCCTAAATCCCCTGCCGGGATCTCTCCTACTCTCGGCCTCGGCGCCCTCACACAAACTTTGTTCTAGACTTGTTCATTCCTTCGGGACCCCGCAGTTGTCGCCTGCACCCAAGAAAGCGAATGCCTCTGTTTCGGAGGCGGGGGGGTGGGGAGGATGTTCTCCTCTGGATGGAGAGTCCCCCCACCCCCCCACGCCCTGGAAAAAGACCCTTAGGATTCCTGGAAGCACGATCCTCTGCGGGCGCACACCCAACCTAAAGATCTCCTCGGGGCTGGGCAGGGGGTGCACGTATTGGGAGGGAAGATGCGGGGATAAACTTGGGTCGCGGGCCCCCCGAAACCGTTCCCCGTCCGCCTGCACTGTCTCGGAAGCACCCAGCAGCAAAGAGCACGCTACTCCCCTGCCGCGCGACCCCGGCGTGTCGGGCTCGGGCGCCCCGACACAGGTCCCCGTCTTCTGGCAGCTCTGAACCCCTAAAGACACCCTACTCCTCCGCGCGGGCCCAGGTGGACTGTGAGCGCTTCGGGGGGGCGCGGCACAAGGGGGCTCCCCCGCGCTGGGAGTTCAGCCCGGAGCACCAAGTAAACTTCCTTCCCGCGGGGCGGCAGGGCCGGGGCGGCGGAGGCCTGCCCGGGGGCCCCGGGCGCAGCGCGGGGAGCGCACGGGGCCCAGCGCGGCCGACCTCCGCCCGCCCCGCGTCCAGCCGGCTCCGCGGGCCCGGGCCGCGGCTCCCCGGAAAAGCCGGGCCGGAGGAGCCGGG